GACAGAAAATCAGAAAATGCATAATTACTCTGTAACAGACCTTAACGTGATTTCTACTTTGCATGAGGATTAAAAATCACTAATACTGTTTCACAGTTGATTAAAAATGAGTAGTTCACTTCAACATTTAAAAATGGTTTGAACTAAACACACTTTGATTATCAAACATTTGTAAAATAGTAATAATAATAAAAAGAGAGTGTTCTTTCAATTGATCAGTGCAGGACACTTAGAAAGTCTCTGGATGAACTTAATCTTGTGTTTCTGGACTCAAATCAATGAAATACAGTTCTTGTTCCAGGCAGGCCCTCAAGGCCAGATTTTGACCTGAGGCTTAGTTCACTACACAAGCATAGAAAAACTATTGACAGCAGCTGTCTGTAGTGTGCATGCACAATTTACACCAATGCTGGGTGTTTTCTAAACTCTCCACATTGATACCTCAATTTAAAAACTATTTTCAAAGAAATCAGCCACTGTTGTTGTGTACAGTAACAGCAGAAACACAGCAAAAATGCTATTTTGATGGTTTCACCCAAAATGGTGTTGTTTGAAGAGAGCCTTATCTAATCTAACTTTCATCTAAAAAATTCTAGAGAAAATAGCTGCTAGTCAGTTACGTGATTATCTGAAAATAAATATTCTGTTTGAAGAGTTTCAGTCAGGTTTTAGAGCTCATCACAGCACTGAATCTGCACTGGTGAAAGATACTAATGATATTCTCATGGCCTCAGACAATGAACTTGTGTCTACTTTATACTGGTCCTGCTAGACCTCAGTGTTGCATTTGATACAGTTGATCATAATATTTTACTACAGAGGCTTGAATATGATATTGGGATTACAGGAACAAATCATATCTATCTGATAGATTCCAGTTTGTAAATGTAAATAATAAATCTTCTTCATACACCAAAGTTAGTCATGGAGTTCTTCAAAGTTCAGTGCTGGACCAATACTCTTTACCTTGAATATGCTTCCATTAGGTAAAGTTATTACACAGCATGGGATAAATTTTCATTGTTATGCTGATGATACACAATTATATTTGTCCATTAAACCCAATGAATCCAATCAGTTACTTAGACTACAAGCATGTCTTAAAGACATAAAAAGTTTGTCCTCCAGCAGTCTTATGCCCCTTTTCCATTAGTACCTGTAGTACCGGTACAGCACGGCTCTACTCTACTCGGTACGGTACAGGTTGTGTTTCCATTATGCTTTCAGTACCGGTTCCAGTGGGCGGGGTTCAAATTGACGTCACCACCTCTCACCAGCTGGTGGCGCTGAGACGCAGAAACTGTTTTCAGTACAGGTTGAGAATTTATGTTATTTTGAAGTTGTGTGTATGTATGTATGCATGTATGTGTGTATGTACATGTGTATAAGTATAAATATATATATATATATATAAATATATATATATACATGTATATATATATCACATATGTATATACACACAATTATGTATATATATGTATATATATACACATATGTATTTATATATATTCATATATATTTATATACATATATATGTATTTATATATATACATATATATTTATCTATATATATTTATAGATATAAATATATATATATATATGTATATAAATTAAAACTCTGATGAACCAGATTCTACAAAAACATTACATTTAAATTTTTATAGGTTTTCATCATCATTTGATGTATTTGCACTCATTGTGTCTACTTTTAATGCTCATTTTAAATGTGTGGTTTCCTTTCTTATTCACATATATACATTTTATTTTTAGCTTTGCTTTAAAGTTCTTGTGTTGTGATTTGTACATTTGTGAGTTAAAATAAAGTTGAACTGAAGGTCGTCTCTTTTCTTTAAACACGTTTGAGGGAAATATTTCTGAGATCCAATAGTTTTGTGTCTTTTTACGATTTTCAGCTGAGTTAACAGTCATTAAAGTGAAAACAGGATTTCATGATGAAGGTGGCACTGTTTATTTATTTATTTATTTTAATCTTCAATGCTAAAATATATATATATATATATATATATATATATTATTTTTTTATGACGATCCTCTCCTCCGGAGACGGGTAGGCTCATCTTCCCAGCTCCAGCTCAGCTGGTGACTCACAGAGGCTGTTCCAAGACCCCAGCCGCGCGTAATCATGATGGCCCGACCCGCACAGACAGGCGGACAGAGACGGGTCTGCGACGAACGGTGGAAGCGATTTTAAAAAACATTTTACGTGTAAAAAAAATAATAATCATTTTTAAATCGCTTCAGCAATTTTTTTAAACATTTTTTGTATAAAAACAAAATATTATTTTATTTAAAAATCGCTTCCACCATCCGCCTGACTGCCGGGTGGGATCGGGATTCAGCCTTCATGATTACGCGCGGCCGGGGTCTGGCCACGGCCATCTGCGAGTCCCCATCTCCAGCTTTGCAGTGACCAGCGGAGCTCTGAGCACACAAGGCTGGTATCCGGAACCCGAGCCTCAGAGTCGGCACATCGAAGGATCTTCCGCGGTGAACAGCTGAACTTGGCGCCGGGGAGATGACGCTCTGCCCGGCCTGGCGCTCCGAGGCTCCGGAGGGAGGATCGGGGTACACCAGCAGAGCTCCATCCAGCTTGCTCTAAATTATGTTGACGGCCACCAAGCACAAAAAATGCCAGCACATCAACATTAGACCGAGATGTTGTCAGTATTGTTTAAAAAATCTTTAAAATAAATCCAGCCGCTGCTCCAGTCCAAGAAATTGCAAATGGCGGATTATTGTTTTGAAAAGTTTCTGAACGATCCAGTGACTCCGCCCCCGACTCTGCCCCCGACCAATCAGTGACCGACAGAGTTCTGACGTCACGTTTTTGTACCTCTTCGTACCAGTTAGAACCACAGAGCCAAGGGTACTGAAAATAGTAACATGTGCTAAGTACCGGTACTAATGGAAAAGCCTCAGAACCGGGCCAAGGAGGGTCCAGTCGGCCCGTATCGGTACTAATGGAAAAGGGGCATAAGGGTGCTTTCACACCAGCCTTGTTTAGTCTGTTTAATCGAACTCTAGCTCGTTTTCCTAGAAAGTCCGGTTTGTTTAGGGAGGTGTGAACATGCCATTGAACTCTGTCACGGAACAAAAAGGCGAACTCTGGCCCGGGCTAAAACCTAGGTCTCGATCTGGTAGAAGTGAACTCCAGCGTGGTTCGAGTGCAGTGTGAATGTAAACAGACCGGCCCTGCTCCACAGGGTAAACAAACACGCATTTCTCTTACCTTATATGGAGTCGTCAGTTGCCTTGTGTGGAAAAACAATATTCTCCATGGTCTTCTGTCTCATCTTCTGCTCATGCTAAGTCCATTTTTGAAAAATGACAAAATATAACTGCTAAAACTTGATGCCACTTCGTTTTTTTTTTTTTTTTACAGAAGAAGAAGAAGACGTGTCTTCAGAGGTTTTTGTGTCGTTTCTTTCAGTAGTTCTTGGTGCAGCGCCCCCTCAGGCGAGTGGGGGAATAGGTTGGTTCAACAGGTTGACTCGACTGCACAGTGCAGTGTGAATGCAAACGCACCAGCTGAAATGTAAACAAAAGGTCATGAATATTGGTCCCGAACCGAACCGGGTCTACTCTGCATGTGCCTGGCCAGGGTCGGGCTGCCTGCCTCAGGTTGAGCGAGAGGAGTGAACCGCTGAAGCCACGGAGCTCGAATGTCCAACAGAAAACTAACTTTATTGCGGTTTAATGTGGTGTCATGGCTCTGCAGACATTGCACATTGCTGTCTTGCTTTGTGGTGTTTCTAGTGTAAAATACGGCCCTGTGATGGACTTGCGACCCGTCCAGTGTGTACCCCGCCCCTCGCACAGTGATTGCTGGACATGGGCACCAGCGACCCCCGTGACCCAAAATGGAATAAGCGGGTAAAGATAATGAATGGATGGATAGTGTAAAATACTTCCACACAGCGGTCATGTTTAGATGAAAAATTAGTTAGCCGTTAGCCACAGTGCTACTGCACGTTGCAAACTATGAAATGTATTTCCTGAATGTGAGGCGGGTCTTATTACTCTGGGTTCTGTTCAGAAAATCCATTCCATAGTTTGAAGCCAACGTGCAGAGCAGCAGGCAGGGAATCACATGTGGAGATGTTTCATCAGACACAGACATGCATCATAGATCAGAAATCTCTGCAGGTTGGATTGGAAAAATCCGACACGTAAATTATGCTGGTATCGGAGGCTGATACGGATACCGGATCGGATCGGCACCATCCTTATATAAAATGCTTGAGTCTTTCTTTCACCACTGGTTGCTCTCGTCATTTTATAGAATATACTGAATCCCGGCTCTCAGAATAAGTAGAAGACATTTAGTTGAATAAAGAAGTGTTGTCCCCCAGGTCATTTATAAAAGGACCACTTTTTGAATTGTGCCCATTTAGAAATATCCCTACTTGGTGCATAAAATCATAGCCACTAAACCATAAATTGAACCAGCTTCCCTCAGGAGATCAAACAAACACAATATATATTTATATTCTTTTCTAAATCAATGCACTATCAGATGTTTTCCAAAAATAATGTCAACGCTCCAACAATCATTTTTCAGTGTTTATTCAGGGGGATGATTTTGTCTAATGTGAGGAACTGTGCCATGCAGTTCATCGTTCCTAAGCCGCTCTGAGTCTGCTTTCCTTTACAGAAAGATGTCTTTCCCTGGAGGTACTTTTTGTCTGAAATTATAATCAGGACTCAGCTCAACCAGCATTTTCTCTGCCATTCTTGCAGAACATTCAGTCTCAGATCACCTCCTCTCATCCTGAGGTGGCTCTCTCTCTCACACACACACACACACACACACACATACACACACACACTGCTCTGAACTCTCCGTCATCATTGGCTGCCTGCATGGTAAGACTTCAACAGGCTGCCTTCTTCTCATTGGCTGCACCCACTGCAAGGGTAGGTGCTCTCAGAACAGCAATAAAAGGCCGAGTGCGGGACGACAAACATTAAAGCAACTCTCAGCAGCTGAATGAGAAGACATAAAGTCTGAGGGAAAATCTTTAAAAAAGTGATTTGTGTTCAGAAATACATTAGGAGAACAGTGAGTGAAGAGCTGTGACAGCAGAGAGCGAGTTAGTACACTTGGATCTTTTTGGAACGTTTTCCACCCCGTTTGACCAAAAAGACTCAAGCATCATGTCTTTGGAGGTGAAGGAGAAGACCCAGGTGCGCGTTGTGTTTCTGGGGTCAGCTGGAGTCGGCAAGACAGCTCTGATCAGACGTTTTCTCCAGGATACCTTTGAGCCGAAGCACAGGCGTACCGTGGAGGAACTGCACAGCAAGGAGTACGACATTGGTGGGGTCAAAGTCACCGTGGAGATCCTGGACACCAGCGGCAGCTACTCCTTCCCTGCCATGCGTAAGCTCTCCATCCAGAACAGCGACGCCTTCGCTTTGGTGTACGCTGTGGACGACCCAGAATCACTGGAGGCTGTCAAGAGCCTCCGAGACGAGATCCTGGAGATCAAGGAGGACAAGTACACACCTATTGTGGTGGTGGGGAACAAGACAGACCGGGAAGACGAGCGTCAAGTGTCCTCTGAGGATGTGCTGGCAACCGTGGAGATGGATTGGAACAACAGCTACCTGGAGGCGTCCGCAAAGGAGAACGCCAACGTGGTGGAGGTGTTCAAGGAGCTCCTGCAGCAGGTGAACTTGCCAAGTCGTCTGAGCCCAGCGCTACGCAGGCGCAGGGAGACCTTTCCAAAAGGAACGGACTTTCGGCCACCTATGAACAAAACTAACAGCTGCATTGTGTCGTAATGCGAGGTACAGAGGGGTGGGCGAGAGATGTTGCGCAACTCAGTTCTGCTGGTCAGAGAGAAAATAACTAAAAGCCCAGACTTGAGTCACCGCTGGTGTAAATAAAGACCTGACTGTGATCCTGAACCAACAGACACTTTACTGTTGTCAGCTGAGAGGAAACCAAGGAGAAGAACTTCTGTACCAGACTGATGATGCATGAAGCAGATTTACATGAAACCGACTGTATTTTTGTTGCTGCTTCTTTGGTGACGCTGGTGCTTAGATCAATTTACGGATTTGGATTTCAAAAAGGAAAATGGTATTTAAGGAACATAATGCTGTTGTCAACCGATTGTTTACTGTCAGAGTATTTCAACTGTGTGTAAAGTGTTGTGCTAAACTTGTATTTGCCCTTTTTTTTTTTTGTAATTCTGTAATTCAATGTAGCACGTCAAATGTTTACATTTTTTTTAATTCAGTTTTGTATCTTTGTGATAATAAACTTGTTTAAATGAAGTCATGACTTGCTCATAAAAATCATAAATGCACTTATTTTGTAACTCGAAGTGATGTATTTAGGGTTTTTTTTTAAGTATAATTTTTTACATATGTTTTTTATGTAGTCATTTAGTCACAAATGTACTGTACATGCACTCTTGATGTAAATGTGAAATAAAGACAAAAGAGCAAAATGTGTGAAACGATTTCATTTGAGCAATTACACAAACAACTGAGAAATTGCTGTTTTCTCTATTATTATGCAGATAATTTGATAAATATTAAATATATTTCAGGAAAATGATACATTAATCATTAAATATTTTGTGAGTGAAAGAGGAAATTATAATACTTAGTTGCATATGAGCATATTTTATATCAGTTTGATATATATATAAATTTCAATGGAAACTCTTCAGCAAAAACATTAAGTATTTTTGCAGCTTTTTTTGTACAATTGTGTACCTAAAAAAAAAAAAAAATGAAAAAAATGAAAATATAAAATAGTGTATCACCTACTTTTTTCAAGCGGTGCAAACATTAAAATGCTGCAGGCATTGATTTCACCACGACAGCTTTATTTAAACATCTAAAATGTAGCCGGCTGCTGAAAATCATCTTATGTTATCCATGTCTACTGTGGGACGATGCTCATTTAATTTGGAAAGGTGAGGTTTGTGTTCTGATAAATCTATCTTTCAAGGCTCTACTGCCATCTGGTGGTGAAAATATATAAAACATTCATTCAAAATGAGTAAATGTGTCAAACTGCTGTAAATACAAACCAGCCACTAGGGAGCACGAGCCAGCAGTGGTGGAGAAAGTACTCGAACTTTCTGTACTTAAGTAAAAGTCCAAATAAACAGATAAAAATGTACTCTAGTAAAAGTAGAAGTACCACATTAATGTTTTTACTTAAGTAAAAGTAGGTACTTACTTTTCAAAAATACTTAAAGTATTAAAAGTAAAAGTACTTGCTGAATGTATTACCTAATGCAATGGTCACCAATATAATTAAGTGTGCCTACTGTATGTATATTTTCTGCAATACATTAATAGTATTGTGTCATTTGAACAATGCTGCAGATAATGTATGTTTTTATTGTGTTTACTCTGTGACACAGTTCACACTTGGACTTGTGATTCTGTGCATCAGAATTTCAGGGATGACATGCAGAGTTAAATGTCATTAAGCAAAACATGCAGAGTTAAATGCCATTAAGCAAAATAAAAAAGAGGAATGATTATACCTTTGAAAGTTTCTATTTAACACAAAGCAAAACCAATGTGTCATTTTAACTGCAGTAAACACATTTAAGTAAGTTGTCTGCCTGAACAAACGAAGCATTAGACCTAACAAAGGAATAGACTGATCATTTCAACTCCAGTTTGTCATCAACTCTAGTTAAAATACTGTCTAGTCAACCTTGTAATGGGTCAATAGTGAACAGTATTTTAACTTCCTGACACCATTTTCATAACTTGGACCTGAGTGTCGAGACATGTGGAGACATCTCTTGTCTCCTAACATCCATGAACTGGCACATTTTAATATTGCAGCAAGAATTTCTTGTTCAGGTTGAGAAGAAGTTGGTTTTCAAAGTTTGTTGAGTTCAGTCTGGATCTTTTGGGAGAAAGAATCTGTCCTGCTGTGCTGAACAGTCTTTCAAAAGTCTTTCAATAATCTTTCAATAAGGTCATGGGTGGTGTGTATCTTCTGGCTGACTCTTCACGGTGGAATCCATTTGGGTGTGTTAGCAGTGCTATGGGTGCGCCTGAGCTCAATGACGTATACACTGTACTAGAATATACGTCATTGGTCCAGCTCTTCTTGAAGGCAGGTCTAATGTTACCTGCCCACTTTGTAGTGATTCACTGGACCAACTCCCCTCTCACCACTGGTTACTTTCAAACTAATGAACAAATTAAAATTCACAGCATGAATGTAACTTGTAACACAACGCATTATAGAAATGTAGTGTAGTAGAAAGTACAGATACTTCATGTAAAATGTAGTGGAGTAAAAATCGAAAGTACCCATGTTTAACTCTACTTAAGTAAAGTACAGATACATGAAAAATGTACTTAAATACAGCAACAAAGTACTTGTACTTTGCTACATCCTACCACTGCAAGTCAGTGGATCTCTTGTGTCAGTCCAAGCCCGAGTAGAAGATGAGGGTTGTGTCAGGAGACAGAAGAAAAAAGGTAACTCCAGAATGTAGAACTGAGGGTGGCAACTCTAAATGTGGGGACAATGACAGGCAAAGGTAGAGAGATGGCTGGCATGATGCAGAGAAGGAAGGTAGATGTTTTATGCATCCAAGAGACCAAGTGGAAGGGCAGCAAGGCTCGCAGTATTGGAGCAGGGTTCAAACTGTTTTATTACAGTGTGGATATAAAGAGAAATGGAGTAGGGGTGGTCCTGAAGGAGGAGTTGGTAAAGACTGTAGAGTGATCTATAAGAGAGGAGGAAGGAGTACGCAGGTCGACTACATGCTGTGTAGAAGAGGAAACCTGAGGGAGACTGGGGACTGTAAGGTTGTGGCAGGGGAGAGCGTAGCCAGACAGCATCGGATGGTTATGTGTAGAATGACTGTTGTTGTGAAGAAGAGAAAAAGAGTAAAATCTGAGAAGACGACCAAATGGTGGAAGATGAAGAAGGACGAATGTGAGAAATTCAGAGATGAGGTGTTGGGGGGGGGGTCAGAAAGAGCTTCCAAAGGACTGGACTACTACAACAACAGGAATTACAGGGACAGGTAGGAAAGTACTTGGTGTGTCATTTGGACAGAGAATGGATGATAAGGAAACCTGGTGGTGGAATAGTGAAGTGCAGGAAGTTATTCAAAGAAAGTGATTAGTCAATAATATGAAATAAAAAAAATAGCTTATTGAAAAATATTTTGTATAGGATGGGAGTTTCAAAGACAAAAAATGCTATTGCTGATATTAATAATGTGTAAATAATTGTACATTCAAAGATGAGAATGTGAGGTTTAAGTATCATTTAATGTGGGAGTATTATAAGGGTTATTTGGTGTGGGGAGACTAAAATGATTGTATATTGATATGTGACAGGGGCAGGAAATCATAAGATTGTTATCTTCTTCCTGCTCCTTTTCAAACAAATTGTGTAAAATTGCATGTCAATTGGCATGACTGTTATTACTTTTTTCGCTTTCTTTGTTTTTACTTTTTATTGTCGTTCGAAATAAAAATTAAAATAATAAAAAAAAAATAATAATAATAATAATAATATGAAAGTGAGAGGACTGAAGAGAGGTGGACATGGTTTTTCCTGGTTGTAAAGTTCTTATGTCTGTTTTCCAGTGATGACGTGAAGGAAAAACCACCTCTTGTCAGTGATGTCAAAGGCAGAGTTACCATAATTGTTGTAAGTTGTGATCTTTTGGTGAAAGTTTTTGTTTAAAGGTTTGCTGATTTTAACCAAACTATTACTATTACACATGATTGCTTTAACCATCTGGCAGCCTTTGGCTCAAAATGACCCAATAGGCCCTGGTTTCAGGGGTCGTTTGGATCCAAGTGCAGCAGGGTTCAAGTTTACACAGCAGCTCATTTTTACGTATTTCTACAAAATAATAAATAAATAAAATGTTTTAAATGTGCACATCTATCCTCTGTTACCCATCCAAACACTACAAACACTTGAAACAACTCGCCCATGGCAACTCTAAAAATATAAATCATAAAAATCACATTAAAATAAACACAGTTACTTTACCAGAACAAAATCATAAAATCATTAAATGTGGATTATTGAACATCAGATCTCTTTCCTCTAAATCCCTGTTAGTTAATGAACTGATAACTGATCATCATATTGATTTATTCTGTCTGACAGAAACTTGGTTATAACAGGAGGATTTTGTTAGTATAAGTGAATCCACTCCTGTTAATTATTTAAATTTTCATGTTCCTAGAACAACTGGCCGAGGTGGAGGAGTAGCTTCTATTTTTCAGTCAGGATTATTGATTAATGCCAAACCAGTTATTAGTTATGATTCTTTTGAATCGCTGTCCCTCAGTCTTTCTCATCCAAAATGAAATTCAGAAAAGCCACTTTTACTAGTTGTTATACTGTACACTGTATATCGTCCACCAAGCCTTTATTCTCAGTTTTTGTCTGAATTTCCAGGTTTTCTCAAATTGGTTCATGCATTTGTCACGTCTAGACTGGACTACTGCAATGATGTTTTATCTGGGTGTCCAAATACGTCTTTAAAACATCTTCAGTTGATCCAAAATGTTGCTGCCAGTCTTAACTGGAGTTAGTAGGAGAGATCATATCTCTCCAGTTTTAGCTTCTCTCCATTGGCTCCCTGTCAAAACCAGAATAGAATTCAAAATCTTATTTCTAACCTACAAAGCTCTCAACAACCTAGCTCCATCTTATATTACAGATCTTATTGTTCCATATTTTCCTAAAAGAGCACTTTGCTCTCAAACTGCAAATTTACTTGTAGTTCCTAGTTTCCAAAAGCAGAATGGGAGGCAGATCTTTCAGTTATCAGGCTCCTCTCTTGTGGAACCAACTTAGTTTCTGTCCATGAGGCTGACACATTGTCCAGCTTTAAAACTTTCCTTTTTAATAAATCCTATAGTTAGGGTTGGTTTGGGTTTCCTGAGCTGCCCTTAGTTATGCTGCAGCTGTAGACTGATTGCTGGAGGATAAACTGACCACATTCCTCACTCTGCTGCTCTTTACTTGCTCTGTATTTGTAATTATTTTTGTCTTAACGTTTTTTGTTTTTCCTCCAACAGAAAATTCACCTGGACGTGTAATTCTGTGTTCGTCTCTCCTTCCTGTTCCCCTCAAACCCAGCCGGTCGAAGCAGATGCCTGCTTGTCCTGAGCCTGGTTCTGCTGGAGGTTTCTTCCTGTTTAAAAGGGAATCTTTCCTTCCCACTGTCTCCTTTGTGCTTGTTCAGGACGGGAGACTGTAAAGAAGTAAAGATTCGACACAATCTGCTGTTTCCTTAGATAGAGAACTTTTACTACGTGCGTTTTATAATATACTGCATGTGAATATTTTGTTCAGTGCCCTGAGACGACTTCTGTTGGGACTTGGCACTATATAAATAAACTGAACTGAACTCACTATTTTCAGACATGACAGAACATTCAGATGATGAGGTGTGACACGAGTTGAAGTGTTAACTGGTTAGTTCCTGACCCAAGGGAACAGCAGAGTTAAAAAAAAAAAAAAAAAACACCTCCCACCTCTGAGCACAGAACAATTCAGCTGTTCTTCAGCGAGGCTGAAACAGACCTGCAGTTCCTGAAATAGAGCTGAATGGTTCCTCTGAGCACAACCAGAAGAGGCTGTTGTCGTAGTGCTCAGGTCCAGTCCACCCCCCACCCATCAGATTAGCCTGTACAAAGTTTCCTGTTTTAATAAGAGGAAGTGGCTGCGTTAACGTTTGCGAGCAGTTCCTCTTTCAGTCCACATTTAAACATTCTTCCGCACTGTGCTCTGGCTCAGTGGTGCAGGGCAGCGGACCTGACAGCTTCAGTCACGCAGGTGTGTGTGTTTGTCATCTTCTTACACGCTCCTCTCTTTCAGGCCTCACATTCAAGATTTGAAGAAAAACACTTTTCAAACACTTCTTCTGTGCACTTGGTGCGTCGTGGTGGTTTCAGTTGCAGTGAGACGTTGGATCACGGATGACATCTCTGCCCCTGGACTTGGTCAAAGCTCCTCAGCAGACTCTACTCACCCTGAGGCGTTTAGAACAAGTTCAGGGTTTGGGATAAAAACACAGCATCTACCTGAAGATGAAAATACATCTGTAGCCTTAGTGTTTTTTTATTTTTCTACACCAAGCAGGTTTTAAAGCTTCTTTGTTTCTGTAGAATTTGTCGCATGCCTTCATTTGTCATTTAAAATGTAACCATTTACCATATTTAAAAGGAAATATTGGCACATATCACCCACAATACAATCTACTGACAGTAAGGTTTAGATGTATTTGAATGTTTTATAAGCAGTTTCACACATCCAGAGTTTGATCTATAAATCAGCAGCATGACATCTTGAGCTGTGCTCTGCCGTCACAGTTCCTGTTTAATATACAGCATGCCCAAAAATAGTTTAAAAACCCTCCTGAACGGCCCAAACTAACAACTTTACGAGGATGAAAATCACGTCGCTGCAGCCGTTCATCTTCTTCCTGCTCGTGACCGAAAGCGCGACTGAAAGTTTTTGTGCTCAGGTGCAAAGCTGAACCGTTTCTAGTTCCTGAAATTTAGCCGCACTTGTTCTCCAAAACGTATTTTTTGTTCTTGATCGAACCAGTGGTGATGTTGCATTAACTTGTTGTTAAAGGAAATAAATGAAACAATTCTAATCTCAGAGCAACAGCTTTATTTGTGATGATCTGCAGAACAGACGGAGGCTGCTGGTACAATGGTGCAGGTTTAGTGGTAAAAAAAGCAGAAACATTTGACGGTTTTCTGCTCGTGTCTCAGAAAGTGTTTAACAGATGCACAAACAGGAACAACACGCGAAAGCTTTGGATTGTTCTCAGCGTGTGCTGAAAAATGTTTGCTGTGTGTGTGTGTAGGAATGTGTGTCCTCAGTCGTCCACAGTGATGTTGCGGAACAGATAGGACATGGACTCTCCGTTGTGGATGCGCCGGATGGCCTCGGCCAGGATCAGACTCACATCTACAGTCCGGATCTTTGGACACTGCAGCTTCTGCACCTCGTGAGGAACGGTGTTTGTCACCACCACCTGCAAACCACAAAATAAATCACTGTGTTTAATCTTTTGTGAAAATTTTCAAATAATAAAAGACAACAAGCTTAAATCATAGCATCTTGATTTCTTTTATTTTTCATTTATTACTCATTCTTACTCATTTCTAATCAACTATATTTACATTTTCTTATAGTTAGAACAGACAAATGGTGGCGCCGAAATTTTCTGCTCGAATCATGTGACCAGACATCAACGTTATAAAAGCTGCTGATATAAAACACTCCCTGTTTTTATTCTTATTATGAGCATTTCCTCAGATAAACATAAGCTCAATGAAGGAACTGGAGCAACTGTATCCTCATGGTTTAACTGGCAGTGCATGTTTTTCATCTCCATTTTCTGATCTAAACATAACATGTTATCTCTCCCAACTAATTTATTTAAATTATACTTTTTATTTACAAGCTAAATATTTAACAATATGGATGCACGATATTATCAGCATGTATCGGTATTGGCCGATATTAGTGATAAAGTTAAATATCGGACATTCTATCAAAATAATTCAGATTTTAAAGGTGCTGGTTTTTTTTTTAATACATTATATATTTATACAGTGTTACATCATTTTCAGCCCCCTTTTTGGCATCAATATTTGGTAGCAGGCCACATTGACAAAGACCATGCAGAAGGTCTCTCTTGTAAATGAGTCCTCGAGACTCCCTGGGAACTAACCTGTGTTAATAAAGTTTGAATGAAAAAGAATAATGTAGTATTTTAATTTCACAGCAGAGAAAGCTATATAGTCTTTGTAAGTAGGTCTAGGAGAAAAAAAACATCGGTATTGGTATCAGTTATCGTCCAAATAAGTTTTAACATATCGGCATATCGGCCAAAAATACAATATGGTGCATCCCTAATAATAAATCAATTTAATAAATTTGACATAGTCCCACCCAAAAACAACAACTTTCAGCTGGTTCAGTCCAATTCAAGCAGCTGTGAAGCCGGAGACAAAGCTGCAGTTGTTATTGAGACTCGGACTATGAATCACAGAAAAGTGAAAACTTTCAGAGACATTTTGGGGCAACTGTGTCTGAGTGGTTAGAGCAGTCGTCCTCCAATGCAAGAGTCGGGGGTTCGAATCCACCAGCATTCACATGCCGAAGTGTCCATGGGCAAGACACTGAACCCCTCATAGCCTCTGATGTGTGTCCCATCAGTGTATGAATGTGATCTAAAGCACTGATTAGTCTCATTAGAATGATTTGTTCAATTAGCTTTGTAGAGATCTAGTAGAGTGCTGTATGAATGGGTAAATGAGGACACAGATTGTAGTGTAACGCGCTTTGAGTATCTTGAAATAAGATAGAAAAGTGCTATATAAGTACAGTCCATTTACCATTTAGATCCTCAAGTTTACAGAAACTGAAATTCAAGTCCCTCTGAGTTGCTCTTATATCGATGTGTGCCTTGGAGCGCAGGCAGGTGTGGGCACGGTGTTTTCTGCACCACTCCTGCGTGAACAAACTGAGGCTCTTCAGTGAATGTTGTACCTCATCGATTGCAGACTCCTCTATTAGTGATGGTGCCTCTGCAGACAGTAATCCATGTGTAGCCATGACGTAGATCTTGTAGGCTCCCCTTTCCTTCAGGATTTCTGCTGCTGCAACAAAGTCCTCCACGTCATCTATGATGTCATCCTGACAATGGGAAAACAAGGTCAGAGAGGGTGGAGATGATGGGACTGTTAGAAAGCAGTCATTTGAACTAAAAGCAGACATTTTTTTAATTAAAGGCCTAGTATTCCATGAAGGGTTGCATAAAGCCATTTTGGCTAAACATTAAAAATAATATGATGAAGATGTTCACATCCTGGATAGAGAGGAACAATGGTTTGAGAGAGGAGTAAAGGAGGCCATCTTTGTGAAAAATATCATCCATCATTAAACAGGGGTGGAGGCCTCCGTGTTCAACTGTCCCCCTCTTACAATGCTGTGATTGCTAGCATCACTCAACCCCCAGTGAATAGTAAACAGCCATCAGTGTGCTAATGATCCATTGTTAGGCTGATGGTCCTTCTTGACCATGTGAGCAGCTGGTTTGAAGCACATGCCACAGTGCAAGACTGGCCAGCCAACTTGCTGGACCTAAACCCCACTGAGAATCTATGAGGTATTCTCAAGAGGAAAATAAGGGGCACCAGACCCAACAACAAAGAAGAGCTGACAGCAAGCATCAAGGAAATCTGGGCTTCCATAACTCCCAGTCAATGCCACAGGCTAATTGCCTCAATGCCACGTCGCATCGAGGCAGTGATTAAGGCAAAGGGATTCCCAACCAAGTACTGAAGATTGACATATCGTTTTGAAAAGTACCATATTTTGATTGATTCGTTGTGATCCTAATTTCTTTCTTTTTTCTGCAAAAACTGAGAAGTAGTGTGGGCTGATGTCTTCACAGTATTCTAATTTTTTGAAATCCTGTTTTCGTGGGTTTCATGAGCTGGAAGCCCAAATTATGTAAAAATAAACAAGTAAATACTTGAACTCGTTTAAATTGTGGGCCCTGAATCTATCATCTATTAAAGATTACGGATTAACTTTTTGAATGGAATTATGAAAGTTAAACAACTTTTCCATGATATTCTACAGGGTCTGTACATCCAATGATTACTTTCCGAGTTTCCTTGAAACCTCCCCAGTGGGTGGTGAAATATTTTGACCTTGACCTTGGGAGCTGGGTGATAGAAAGTGTTTGTGATGCTCCATCTAGTGATGAGGCATACATGTTCCAAGTTTCATTAAATTATCTTGAGCGGATCAGAAGTTAGGCGGCACGGTGGCTCAGTTAGTAAAGCTGCCGCCTCTCAGCAGGAAGGTCGCTGGTTCAAATCCCGGCCTGGGACCTTTGTGGGTGGAGTTTGCATGTTCTCTCTGGGATGGGATGGATGGATGAATGGATGGATGGATGAGAAGTTATGGCCTGGACAAGCAAAAACCTTGTTTTAACTTTGACCTTGATTTGTGACCTTCAAGCTGGGATGATAAAGTGTATGCCACACTCCGTCTAGTGATGATGTGCATCAGGTTTCCATGTCCTGCGTTTGATGGGCGTATTAAAAGGTGTTCTTCATATGCTACATAAATCTTTATATATTTAAGTTGTTTGAATCTAATCTCTCCATGAGGCTCTGTATTCACATCAGTCAATCACAGCTACCAGTTTAAACAGATCAAAACTTACAACGATGATGGCGATTCTGCCTCCAACATCGCCAACAACAGAGATGGGTGGTTTTTCCTTCGCCATCATCACTGGCAAACAGACACGAGAAGTTTACAACGAGGAAAAATCCGCACACCATTAGATGGAAGACAAAATGAGGAGCTCTAAAGCTGCAAACATTATTTATTTCAAAACAAGTTTCCAGTTACTGCACGGTCTGAGAGTTCAGCGTCACAGCTGCAAATATGAAATCACCACCTGTGGCCGATAAATCGTTTTGAAATTTTAGCTCTGAACACATGCATAAACAAAAAACTGTTGTAAATATTGACAAATTTATTTTCTAGATCAAGTGCATGAAATAAAAAGTCCATTTTATCAATGGTGAAAAAGAATATCACAGAATCACCTAACATCTAGTAATACAGAGAGATGTTTAAACAGAACTTAGTGGATTAAAACCCAAGTCCAATACGGTATTTAAATGGATTTTCAAACTGATTGTAATCACACTACATAAGAGACTCCCAGTTACCGAAGCTAAATGAGTTGAACAGGTAAAATATCTATGAAATATGTTGTTTACGTGTTTGTCTTGTAGTAGAACAAAACTGTTTGTGTTGGTTTTGAACTGGATTTAGACGTGTTACTTCTTTGTGGGAACTTTTTGGTGCTTTATGAATAAACTGAATTCAACAGGCTGGCTGGACAGAGTGAGACTCAACAGCAAGAATAGAAACAGAGGCAGCTGAAATAAAACCCATTCCTATTATGAGGGAGAACACAGGAGAAGATACATTTAAACAGCACAGACGGTATAAAATGAGATGACGAGGGGGGAAATAATCTCAGCGAGATGAAGAGTAAACTCAGATCAATGTCAGGATGTGCATTTTACAGCTCTGAGGGAAAGCTGACCTGAAACCTGTTCAGTTTGTTGCATATCTTTAAACCTAAACTCACTCAAATCACTATGTATGTCGAGTTTAATTCCACTGAATCAAATCCTGAATGGACTCTAAACTGGTCATTTTTCAACACGGCTTAAACTTCCAGTTCCTGCAGATCTGTTGACAGCAATTGAGGCAGCTGTGGCTGTTAAAGCAGTCGTCCTCCAATGGGAGAGTTGGGGGCTCAAGTCCACCAGCAGTCATATGCTGAAGTGTCCCTGGGCAAGGCACTGAACCCCTCATTGCCTCCAGAGTGTCCCATCAGTGTATGAATGTGATAAGCTCTGATTAGTCTCTACAGATTCAGATTATCTTTGCAGAGATCTAGTAGAGTGCTGTATGAATGCGTGTGTTGAAGGTAAATGAGGACACAGATTGTGTAGTAAAGAGCTTTGAGAGTCTTGATCAGATAGAAAAGTGTTATATAAGTACAGTCTATTTAGCAAAAGCAAAGACAGTGTGGGCTGAAAACATGCACGTTGATACAGCGATTGTCTTACAAGGCAGCTGCAGGCCAGGGTGTCCTGTGGAAGCTCGGGACAGCGGGGGGGACTGTCGACCGTCTGCCATGTCCGACTCTGAATGTTGGGCCTCCCCGTGAATCACTGCCAGACCGAGTCGCAGCCTCTCTGCAAACGACTGAGCTCTGAGACAGACAGAAGGTGTCAAACACAGTCCAGAGAAATAAACCTGGAGCAAAAACACAAGATTGCTCCAAAATATGTAGTCATGGCTGGAAAAGGTCCTAAACTGAGGACAAAAAGCTGTCCACCGTGAAACTAGACTCTGAGGACAGCTGTGACTGAGTGCTTAGAGCAGTCGTCTTCCTTTGGGAGAGTTGGGGGTTCGATTCCACCAACGGTCACATGCTGAAGTGTCCCTGTGCTTCAACATTAGACCATGACGTGAGATGAACTTCAATAAAACTTAACGATAATAACTAAAGTTAAAAACAAATACATAAATTGAATAAACCTGTACAAGAAAAGCCAAGATAGATCTGCTCAACCACATCAAAGAGCCAGTAAGAAAAGATGAGATTTCACAATGAGGTGTGACAACAACTAACTATTAGTTCAGACAACTTTTTAAAAATCAAATAATTTTTTTTATAAAGATTTATGAAAATAAAAAGTCAGGAGCAGTTACACGCCCCACGAGGGGTCGCACTCTAATTTCAGAAGCAATAAAGACATGAATTATTGTCCCACACTGAGCTAATGGAAGGCAGACCTGACCATTAATAAAGTATCTTTAGTTGAATAGAGCTTTTGTGGATAACTGAATTAATTTGTTTCTTAAATTCACTGTAGTAAAATTAATAATAATGTGACCACGGTGGCTTGTTTCATTTGTCCAGAACTGAAGCCATTTTTTCTAAAAGCATAATTAGCCTGGACCATGAACAATTCTTCAAGGCCTCATTTGTTGAGTTTCCAGTGTTGTCTAAGGTCCAGAGTATATTCAGCTTCTTTAGCTGTTGACATGTTCCTCCTCCTGAACACTGCAGTGCTGACTGCAGCATCACGAGGAGTCGTACACGTTACAGAGCGGTGATGCAAACACTTCTACACACAAATGACATCTAATACGAAGTTTATCTTGGAACGTTAACCACATAATATGATGCGGAGTAAAACTTAGCCAGTTTTGTTGAAACACAATTGACTGAAAGTGCAAGAAAACATGGAGATGTGAATGTTAGCTTTAGGCCTGTTGCGATAAACAATAAATCAATTAATCGCATGATAAATTAAAATTATTAATCTCATTTTCATTTATCGGCTTCATCATTTCTTCGTGTCTCTTTCTAGTGAAGACACTGGATGACAAAAGACTCAACTCCGGTGCTCTTCACCGACCCCTCCCTTTCGCTTTTCTCTTGAAAATCTACGTTAATAATAATAATAATGTCATCACATTATGTTTCCATACAATGGCAAAATTAGTCTCTGCATTTAACCCAT